ATGTAGCGTACATTTGTTTCTGCTGAAGTTTGTAGGCTTTGAAAACTAAAACACTTTAGGAAAAATGCCAAACTCCCCTACACAAACACTCACTCACCCACACTCTCACATTGCCACACATTTATAGTTCATTTGACATGAAACTTGCTCTCCCCTTTTGCCCTTTCCACATTTTAGGCAACTTTATTGATGTCCTTTGCCATTATTGTTAGGCTTTGCTTTGGAACTAGAATTTCCTTCTGTGCCAGGCCAGAATGGAAACAAAAAGCCAACAACTACTACTGACAGCATTCAATGTTCGTTTCTCACATAATCATCATCAGTATTCTCATCATCCTCATCATCATTATTATTAGAATTTTATTCGTTTCTAAAGTCAGGCAAATACAAAATTCTTAAATAAATAAATGGGTGTTCAGAGGCCCCAAGTAGCAGGAGGTGGAGGAGGAGCAGGACGAAGAGACTTTCTAGAAAATGCTGTTGGAAAAAAACCCTATCATAAATCGTTTGGGCTTAAATAAATATTCGAGTCTTACATCTGCTGATAAAGAAATCCTTTCATCGTGAAATCTAAATAGAAGCTGCTGCTGAGGAGGCAGCAGCGCCATCAACCCATACCCAACCCAGTGGAGCCTTGTGAATGAAACCTCTTTTTTGTTTTTGTAAATAGTCTCCATTTAATGAAAGTTGACAACTGTTCTGAGTTCTGCTCTCAGAACTCACCAGCAAACGGAGTCTATGGATTTGTGGACTTGTCTTAATGGCGATAAAGATGTCGATGTTTTGGTGGAAGTGGTGTTGGAAGTTGTTGCTGTAGTTGTTGTTATTATGTTTATTGTTGATTATTATGAAAGGAAGCTAAGGCAAAACAGCCATTAGTAAAAACACAAAAATATGGTTTTTAGAAAAACATATACTCCCACCTAGACCCCCAAGAAGGAGGAGGGAAATGGGGGGAGACATAAATCAAAAGCAAGTCAAAAGTAAAAAAAAGTAAAAACTAGGCCACCATTCACCCAGTCATCTCCTTCACTGGCCTCCAGTTATAGTTCGGAAATGGAAAATGTCAGTAAATATTGAACAAGTGCAACTACAACAAATAACCCAACAACAAGCACATCATCATCATCACGAGCAATAGAAAATGACAACAATTAATAAACTGTAAACGCCAGAGCCAAGTCAAGCCAAGCCAAGCAATTGAAAGTAGTTTCGCCGAGCCAAGAACGAAATTAGAATGTCGTCCGACAAGAATGGTTAATTAGTAGCTGAAAAGAAAACTGAGTTGTTTTCTCTGCTGCTGCTGAAGGAAAACTTTTCCATGAGAAGTCAAAGTAAATTTTTGTTGTTGTTGTTGAGTGAATGAATCAATGAATGGGCACAAGGACCTTTGTTACTTTAAGAATGAATGAAGTGGATTACTGGAGTTAAATGGTTGTGGGAATTAAATTTGAGATTCTGGGAAATTTTTCTCTTTATTTGGAAGAAAATGGTACACGATTTTCAGTATCTCTTTTATTTAAAGGATTTTTTTGTTTGGGGAAAAAAATATATTTTTTCAAGAATTCATGAAACATGAATTTTTAAAAAAAATATTTTTTTTCAAGAAATCATAAAACGTGGATTTATTAAAAAAATATTTTTTTAAGAAATCATGAAATGTGGATTTTTAAAAAATATATTTTTTCAAAAAATCATGAAACGAGGATTTAAAAATATATTTTTTCAAAAAATCATGAAACGAGGATTTAAAAAAATATTTTTTTAAGAAATCATGAAATGTGGATTTTTAAAAAATATATTTTTTCAAAAAATCATGAAACGAGGATTTAAAAATATATTTTTTCAAAAAATCATAAAACGAGGATTTAAAAAAATATTTTTTCAAGAAATCATGAAACGAAGATTTTTTATAAAAATATTTTTTCAAGAAAATTGGAATAAAACGTGAATTTTTTAAAAAAAATATTTTGTCAAGAAATCAGGAAACGTTTTTTTTAAATATTTTTTTCTAGAAATCATGATACGTGGATTTAAAAAAATATATTTTTTTAAGAAATCCAGAAGCGTGGATTTTTTAAAAAATATTTTATCAAGAATCGTGGATTTTTTAAAAAATATTTTATCAACAAACGTGGATTTTTTATAAAATATTTTATCAAGAAACGTGGATTTTTTAAAAAATGTTTTATCAAGAAACGTGGATTTTTTAAAAATTATTTTATCAAGAAACGTGGATTTTTTAAAAAATATTTTATCAAGAAACGTGGATTTTTTAAAAAATATTTTATCATGAAACGTGGATTTTTTAAAAATTATTTTATCAAGAAACGTGGATTTTTAAAAAATATTTTATCAAAAAACGTGGATTTTTTAAAAAGTATTTTTATCAAGAAACGTGGATTTTTTAAAAAATATTTTATCAAGAAACGTGGATTTTTTAAAAATTATTTTATCAAGAAACGTGGATTTTTTAAAAAAAAATTTATCAAGAAACGTGGATTTTTAAAAAAAAATATTTTTTCAAGAAACGTGGATTTCTTAAAAAATATTTTTTTCAAGAAATCCTGAAACGTGGATTGTTAAAAATAATTTTTCTAGAAATCATAATATGTGGATTTTTTAAGAAAATATTTTTGTAAAGAAATCATTACACTTGGATTTTTTAAACACTATTTTTTTAAGAAGTCATGAAACGTGGATTTTAAAAAAAAATATTTTTTCAAGATATCGCGAAACGTGGATTTTTTTAAAAAAATATTTTTTCAAGAATTCATGAAACGTGGATTTTTTTAAAAAAATATTTTTTCAAGAAATAAATAAACGTGGATTTTTTAAAAAATATTTTTTCAGGAAATAAATAAACGTGGATTTTTTAAAAAATATTTTTTCAAGAAATAAATAAACGTGGATTTTTTAAAAAATATTTTTTCAAGAAATAAATAAACGTGGATTTTTTAAAAAATATTTTTTCAAGAAATAAATAAACGTGGATTTTTTTAAAAAAAAATTTTTCAAGAAATAAAAAAAACGTAAATTTAAAAAAAAATATTTTTTCAAGAAATCATGAAACGTGGATTTTTTAAAAAAAATATTTTTTCAAGAAATCATGAAACGTAGATTTTTTAAAAAAAATATTTTTTCAAGAAATAAAAAAACGTAAATTTAAAAAAAAAAAATATTTTTTCAAGAAATCATGATACGTGGATTTTTTAAAAGAAATATTTTTTCAAGAAATCATGAAACGTAGATTTTTTAAAAAAAATATTTTTTCAAGAAATAAAAAAACGTAAATTAAAAAAAAAATATTTTTTCAAGAAATCATGATACGTGGATTTTTTAAAAGAAATATTTTTTCAAGAATACATAAAACGTGTGTTTAAAAAAATATTTTTTTCAAAATATCATGAAACGTAGATTTAAAAAAAAATATTTTTTCAAGAAATCGTTAAACGAGGATTTAAAAAAAAATTCAAGAAATCATGATACGTGGATTTTTTAAAAGAAATATTTTTTCAAGAATACATAAAACGTGTATTTAAAAAAATATTTTTTTCAAAATATCATGAAACGTAGATTTAAAAAAAAAATATTTTTTCAAGAAATCGTTAAACGAGGATTTAAAAAAAATTCAAGAAATCATGATACGTGGATTTTTTAAAAGAAATATTTTTTCAAGAATACATAAAACGTGTATTTAAAAAAATATGTTTTTCAAAATATCATGAAACGTGTATATTTAAAAAAATATTTTTTCAAGAAATCATGAATCGTTGATTTTTTTTAAAAAAAATATTTTTTTAAGAAACAATGAATCGTGAATTTTTTTAAAAAATATATTTTTTTAAGAATAAAATAATTTTTTTTTAAGAAAAAAAAAAATATTTTTTAAGAAAGCATTTTTTTAAGAAAAAATATATTTTTTCTAGAAATCATAAAACGGGGATTTTTTTAAAAAAATATATTTTCAAAAAATCAGGAAGCGTGTTTTTTTTTTAAAAAATTATTTTTCAAGAAATTTTGAAGTTGGATTTTTTTAAAAAAAATATTTAAGAAATCAAAATACTGGGATTTTTTAAAAAATATTTTATCAATAATCGTGGATTTTTTAGTCTAGTACACTTTAGTACATATAAATACAAATTTCTAAAACTACCTCCATACCCCAATCCCAATTACTCCGACAGTAATCATATTGCACCAAATTTAGTACCATTTAGTACACATAGGTACACATTTACATAACTACCTAAATTATACAGTTTAATAAAAACCTTATTTTCAAATTTCAGGATTTCAACTCTACCGATTCTCCCAAAAATTTAATTCGTACCAAGTTTAGTACCAATTAGTGCACATAAGGACGAATTTCCAAAACTACCTACATTCCTCAGTCCTAGAATGCAATAGTAATCTTATTTCCAAATTTCGGGATTCCAGCTTCATCCAAATCGCAATTGTACCAAATTTAGTACCATTTGGTACTTTTCCTGCTTATAAGTACAAATTTCGAAAAATTCCTGCATATCCCAATCATACACTTCACCAGTAATCCTAGTTTCAAATTTCAGAATCCCAACTCCATCCGTTCCTCCAAAACTCAAATTGTACTAAATTTAGTACCGTTAAGTACTTTTCGTGCACATGAGTACACACTTTCGAGGCTTAACATCGACTCTATTCCTCAATTTTGACTCTCATTCCAAATATCAAGTTTTTAGCTCTAATCGTCCAAGTGATACGAAATGGTACCAAATTTAGTACAGTTTAGTACTTTTCGTACATTTATGGTGCGAATTTTCAAAAAAACCCTTTGGGACATCTGTTAAACACTCCATGAGTGATCCTCATTCCAAATTAAGAGTTCTAGCTTTACTGCTTCCTAAAAAACCAAGGGTACCATATTTGGTTCCTTTTCCCAAAATTTAAACCCAATAGGTCTTTTGGTACAATTTCTCAAATTAAATGAAAACAAATAAATATTTTTTTCATTTTTTTCCTTTTATTAAATAAATATTTCTCAAAAAACGTTATTGATCTCCATCATCGAAGACATCACCACCCTCAGTATCATCATCATCCTCAACAGGTGCAGTTTCCCCATCATTTTCGCCATAATCCGGCAATATTTCACCCATTAACATGCCACGTAACCACTTGTTATAGCTACTAACCATTCTAGTCGGTTTCCGCTGATATTGTTTGGGCTTGTGAATGCCGAATACCTCCAATGGAATTAGCGTACCTTTTGGACCTAAAATATAGACTTTATCATTGACCATGGTGCTGGACTCATGATGGGGCCGTGGTGTAGTTGTTGTGGTCGTCGTTGTGGTGGTTGTGCTCGGTTCTGCCATGGCAAAAAGCTCATATGGATTGCTAGGTTGAAATGGTGCCAAAACACCATTGGCATCCAACATATAGAGACCACTGGAAAGGCCAGCCAGCCGGTGGGGAAACATTATATCCGATATGGGAGGTGGTGGCGTAGTTGTCGTCGTCGTTGTGGTGGTAGTGTGCTGCATAAGTTGCGGTGGTATCCTTTGACCCAAATAATTCAAATATCCCCTATTATCGGTTAGATAATAATCTCCCGTATTATATTCCGAATAGCCATCGCCATAATCCGGCGATTGTTGGCTGTCATAGGGTGAAAATCTATTGGCAAATTGATTGAAACGATTATTGGGACAACCACAACGTCCCCGTGGTCCTGGGAGACCTGGTAAACCCGGTTCGTATTGTGCGACGGGTACTGAATCTCCCTGTACTCCTCGATCACCCGTTTCGCCTCTGGGTCCCTGGGGACCTTGGGGTCCAGTGGGTCCCCGATTACCCATAGAGCCTACATCACCGCGTGGACCCTGATAACCTGGGGGACCTTTATCTCCCGGATAACCCGGTGGACCAGGGGCACAGCCACAGCTTGTGCTGCCAGCATGACTGGAGTGAATGAAAACTCCTGTAAAAATGTGAGAAGAAATTCGTTAGAGTTTCTATTCGAATTTCAAATGGAAATCTTACCCAAAATTGTTAACAACTTCAAAATTCTATGCATTTGCCTCATCGCTCCAAGTTCATGGCAATACTGAATTGGCTTGCAGCCAGGTTTGGGTATTTATATGGCCGAGAACGAGATTTGGAACCTAAACTAGTTTTTTTTTTTCGATTAAAACAATAACTCCTCTCGCTCAACTGGAAATCAAGAATAAACTATTGAAACATTTTTCAATACCCCCCCCCCCCTCCTCTGATGCTGGATGCAACAATGTCGTATGAGAAAAAAAACATAATCTTGTTTTCCTCTATTTTTCTTATGGTGCCCTCAAGTTTCCCGTTAGGGAAATTTAAATATTTCCACATTTGAAAATGCGTTTATGTTCTGTGTAGATTTTTTCAACACAAATTCCCCCCACCCTCTCTCCACCACTCATTATCATGGTTAACGGCCTTTGTTGTAACTTCATTAACATAATTTGTAAGTGAGACCTTAGTTTTTCGTATGCTTCCTCCACCGTGGCCTCTTTCCCCCGGCTTGTTGGCTGCCCACGGTATATTTAATGACCCACTCCCAACATCGTAAATTCTGATTGTTTAGACTGCTTTTATGCTTAGTTGGCCAAGAAAATTTAAATACCCTACGAAGAATTTCTTAATTTCGTATAAGTTTCCTTAAATAGTGATGTTCTGAAAATTTATGATGATCTTGAACCTGAAAAAAAATTTAGCTACTGGAAGTTTTTGGAATTTAATAACATAAAGTAGCTAAAATTATGGCGGAAAAATATAAGGGACAAAATTAAAAAAAAAAAATACCGAAAACCCAAATACTTAAGGAAAATGGGCCGAAGATGGATAGACCAAGTTAAAAAGTATCAGTAGGTTCTGCCGACAGTTGTATACCCTCAGCCAATGTTCGATTATTTAAATAAAATTTGACTTCTGTTATGATTATTCAAATTGTTGACCCTCTATGATATAGGCTCCGAAGGAATGGACCTATATTGTCTATTTCGTATCCGACCTAAAAAATATGAGCTAAATATTGCGCCGTGCCAGGTTTGGATTATCTCGTTCACTTCCTATATCTTTTATGAGATATGTGCTAATTTTTAGAAAATGTTGAAATATGGGTTGGGTACCCCAGATATAGTCGATCGAAGTATTCCATTTTCATACTTCATCTAATACAAATAAAAAATTAAAAATTACAAGAAAATCGAAAATTTATATTCAATTTTAGGCGAAATCATAAATTCCATATTTATTTCAGGTTTCTGGTTGAGAGAAATATTTAGATATAGCCAGGTGTAAAGAATCGCTGACTTATTTTCTGAGTTATGACAGATAAAAGTACTGAATGTTGTGAACCTTTGTGGGTGAGGTACCAGAAGGGGTTCACAGATATATCCCATCTTCACAACAGATCTTGTGTTAGTAGAAATAATGGGGTGTGTGAAATATGAAGAAAGCCGGAAGCTTAATTAGGATTTTATAATTGTTTTGGGAATTCAAGACTTTGACCCTTTGTGGGGGAGATCTCTACCATATTTATAACAGATCTTGTGCTTATTCAAATATTGAGATCTACCAAGTTTCAATGGAATCGGATTATTAATTTCGCATTTTATGAGCTTCACGGATATTCAAAATTTTGACCCTCTGTGGAGGAAGTACCTGAAGAAGTGGTCCGATCCCTATCATCTTTATAGCAGACTTTGACCCTTGATAGAAATATAGAGATTTGCCGCGTTTGAAAGGAATCTGATGATTACATCGCATATTATGAGCGTTTGGGTTATTCAAAATTTTGACCCTTTGTGGGGTAGGTATCAGAAAAAAAGATCCGATCTCTACCATATTTATAGCAGATCTTGTGTTGATGGAATTTGATGGATATTCAAAATTTTGGCCCTCTGTGGGGTATGTACCAGGAGGAGTGAACCGATGTATCCCATCTTCACAGCAGATTTTGTGTTAGTAGAAATAATGGGATGTTTGAAAAATGAAGAGAGCTGGATGCTCATTTCGGATTTTATAATCGTTTTGGTTATTCAAGACTTTGGCCTTTTTTGGGGGAGATATCAGAAGAAATGATTCGATCTCTACCATCTTTATAACAGGTCTTGTGTTAATGAAAATATTGAGATCTACCAAGCCTGAATGGAATCGGATGTTAATTTCGAGTTTTATGAGCTTCACGGATATTCAAAATTTTGACCCTCTGTGGAGGAGGTACCGGAAGGAGTGGTCCGATCCCTATCATCTTTATAGCAGATATTGTGTTGATAAAAATATAGAGATTTGCGGCGTTTGAAAGGAATCTGATGATTATATCGCATATTATGAGCGTTTGGGTTATTCAAAACTTTGAACCTTATGTGGGTGGGGTATCAGAAAAAAAAGATCCGATCTCTACCATATTTATAGCAGTTCTTGTGTTGATGGACATATTGAGATATACCAAGTCTGAATGGAAACGGATATTAATTTCGCGTTTTTTGGCCCTCTGTGGGGTATGTACCAGGAGGAGTGAACCGATGTATCCCATCTTCATAGCAGATTTTGTGTTAGTAGAAACAATGGGATGTGTGAAATATGAAGAGAACCGGAAGCTTAATTAGGATTTTATAATCGTTTTGGTTATTCAAAACTTTGTCTCTTTTGTGGGGTAGGTACCAGCAGGAATTATCCGATCTCTACCATATTTATAGCAGATCTTTTGTTGATGGAAATATTTTATTTTATGTACTTCATTGATATTCGAAATTTTGACCCATTGTGGGGGAGGTACTATGAGGAGTGGACAAAATATCCCATTTTAATATCAGATCTCGTGTAAGAGGTTATAATGGGTTGCGTGAAATATGAAAAGGAACCGGATGCTTATTTCGGATTTTATAATCGTTTTGGTTATTCAAAACTTTGTCCCTTTTGTGGTTATTCAAAAGGTTTGACCTTCGTTGGGGAGATACCAGAAGAAATTGTTCGGTCTCTACCATCTTTATAACAGATCTTGTGAAATATTCAGAAATATTCAGATGTGCCAAGTCTGAATGCAATCGGATGTTAATTTCGCGTTTTATGAGCTTAAAATATATTCCAAATTTCGACCTTTTGTGGGGGTGGTACAAGAAGAAGTAAACCGATATACTCCATTTTAACACCAGACCTTGGCTTAATATAAATATTGGGATGTGTGAAATTTTAATACAATCGGATTCTTACATCACATTTTATTCAAAATTTTGACCCCTTTTGGGGAGGCATGGATTTATATTGTCAATTTTCGCACTTGACCTAGCACTGACGCAAATATTAAGATTTGCAAAGTTGGAACAAAATCGGATTATCGTTTCTCTTTCTGTGCAAAAAAATATATTTTTTGAAAATTTTTCGACCTTTTGTGGAGGAGGTACCACAAGGAGAAGGCCAATGTATTCCACCTTAACACCAAACCTTGGGTCAATAAAATTATTGAGATATGTGTAATTTGAAGACAATCGAACTCTTACATCACGTTTTATAGGAGTTTTAATTATTCAAAATTTTGACCCGTTGTGGGGGAGGATTTATATTGATGGAGTGGACTTATATTGTTAATTTTCGCACCTAACCTTTTACGGATGCAAATATTTGTGATTTGCAAAGTTAGAAGTAAATGGAAGTAAACATCTTCGTGAGATTTTCCTGAAATCTACTCAGGAAATCTTCAATAAAAATTTGGTCACTTCATGAGGGCTTTTGCGAAAAAAAAAGATTGTAATTCTTTGGAATTAAACCTAAAGATTTCCTCTCGACAGGGTGTTATACAGGAAAAGACTTCGTCATTAGATTTTCTATTAAAGAAAACCTTTTCGTAAGATCATCCTGGGAAGAACCCTCTTCATGGGGTATTCTATAGAAAACTACCACTACATGAGCTTCATTACGAAAGAAGACCTCTCCACGAGTTTTTATATTCTTCACCATAACATGGAGGGTATGTTAAATTTGACATCCCGTTTCTAACATATCGTAGTACTCGTATTCATTTTGGACTCAACAAATTAAATATATTCATGATCAGTTTAAAATTTTAATCCGATCTAGCCATGTTTGTAATCACGCTATCTTCCGAAGGAAGAATGGAGAAGGAAAAATGCCAATAACGGAGATTTTTTCCATAAAAATACTCGAAAAAAGATTTGATATGGGTTCTTGTATGGAAAAGGCCCCTTTAGGGGTTCTTTGTGAAGAAAAACCCTCATATGAAGTCGTTTACCAAAGAAGGCATATTTTTAAGGTGTAGAAGAAGGTCTCTTTACGAGCTGTGGGAGCATTCTACTTAAAAATAATGTATCTACATGAGTTTATCTATAGAAGATCTATAGAATTTTGAAGATAATTTCTAGGTAGTAGACATTTTTAAGTTCTTTCATAGATGGAAGGAAGGCCATTCTCCAAAAAAGAGTACATTTTGAAGAGAGTCTTTTATGAGAAGAAGGCCCTTTAAAGGTCTGCAATGGTTGGTAGACTCCCTGATAGATAGAAAATAAACTGTAGGCATTCCATAAAAATATCCTCTGAAGGTCTTCTATAGATCGATAAACTTCTAAAAGTCTGTTTTGGAAGACTACTTGCTGAGATTTTCTGTGAATGCACACCTATGCATGAGGACTTCTGTGGGAGAAGAGTTCTGGACAAGATCTTTTATATGGAAGAAACTATTTTAACAAAGTCTCCTATGCGAAAAAATCTCCTTATCAGAAAGAAAGAAAAGCTCCTTCGTAAGACTCCCGTCTTAGCAGAATTATCCCTTTGCAGACAATTTTTTATTTACTTCTATAGCGGTAGACCTCCTTACAAAATCTTCTATGAAAGAATGATTATTTTATTTTACGGAATAAGACGCCTGGTTGAAATCTGGCTTAGAGGGGATCTTCTGTAGAAGAGGAAGACCTCCTCTCGAATTTTATATTAAACAAGTTAAAAAAACAGTAATTTCGGCGGGGCAGAATTTTCAATATCCTCCACCAAATGGAACGAATTTGGAAATTTAAAAAAAAAAATAAAATAAATAAATAAATAACAGAATCCGTTGAAAATTCTGTTAAAAACATAAAAATGCCGTCTATACAAAGACCTGGACCTGCGTAGCCAAGTCACAGGCTGTAGTACCCATTACGAAGTGCAAATACGAAATTTGAAACAATTCCGTTTAATAATTTCTTTGAAATCCGGAAAATACAGAATATAGGGAGGTACCGTTATATGGGGGCTATAGGATTTTTTTTTTGGTTACAGGCTGTAGTATCCGCTGAGAAATGTAAATACGAATTTTGAAAAATTTCTAATGAATAATGTCGCTAATATCATGAAAGTACCTATATGCATTGCCAATTTTCCGTCATAGGCAGTAGTACCCATTACGAAGTACCATTACGAAATTTGAAAAAAAAAATCCGCTGAACAATGTCGCTAAAATCATCAAAATACCAAATCTGATGATTTTCACAGACGGGTAGACAGACAGATGAACGGATCGTTATATCGTTACAAACGGAATGACAAACTTACTATACCTCCATACTATAGCGGAGGGTATAAAATAGTAGACCTCCGGATATGTTTTCGGGCAATGACCTCTGACTATTTAACTGTTATAACAATAAAAATTATTTCATAATCAAATAGTATTAAATTTTACTCTGGAGAAACATAACCCAGAACAATAAAAAACGGTAAAAAAGAAGTCACTTCCCACCTCCCAACCAAATCATCTTCCACACTCATCAAATGCAGCAAACAGTTAGTCGATGAATAGATTTTGTGTCTGCAACACTGGCTGCATCTAAGCGTCAATAAAACATGGCTTAGAAACAATGATGGGCGTGTGCCATTAACCGGCCGATGGGCCATAAATTATCATCGACAAATTGAGAACATAACAGACTTTTAGAGAAAAGAGACCAATGAGAGTGTTATTGACACCAATGAACGGATTATGAATTGTAAGTGCCTAAATGAGAGTATCTCTAGATAAGGGAGACCACTGAGAATATTATTGACACCAATGAGCGGATTATGAATAGAAAAATACCTAAATGAGGGGCATCTATTCTTATATCTTTCAAAATATTGGTTAAGGTTTGATATAAAATAAACTGAAGTAGATTTTATTTAATAGTCATATTTTGAATTTCAATAGCGACAAACCTTCTGCTCAAATTATGAAAATATTTCTCTCTTTTTTACTGCTCTTGGGTATGTCCATCATTACAGGATATGGAAAACAAATAGAATTTCCGGGATACTAAAATAAAAAAAATAAAACCATATTTTTGTAATTCAAAAAATTTATTTTAGGCTTAACCTCCCTGGGCCATGCTGTGTTAAAGTCCTGCGTTTGTGAGCCCGGCTTGGAGGGTGCACCGGGGCCCAATGGCAATCCCGGTCCAAAGGGTGAAAAAGGTAATCGCGGCTATCCCGGACTGCCGGGTGCCCAGGGACCAATTGGTGCGCCAGGATTCAAAGGTACCGTAGGACCAAAAGGCGTTCCAGGTCGTGGTAGTAATATAGTCGGCGCTGTTGGGCCACGGGGTCCGACCGGCGTATGTCCCCCATGTGCAAGACGTCGTTCCGCGTTTACTACCATTGAAGCCGAACCAGAAGACGATAGCATTTATATGCTAACCGAAGATGGAGATTTGGTACCGGTGCGAAAAATTCAACCAACACCAGAGCAAAGATCTTTGATTGAGAAATATCAGAGGTCACTCGACGATGAGGGGGATGATGGAAATTTTGAAAATAAAAATTAAATTTATGTTCGATAAGATATTTACGATAAGAAACAATAAAATAAACAATTAAAATTAAAAAAAATCCGAACTTTTGAAATAGAGTTTTATTTTGAAAAAAATTGAATTTTAGATGTGTCGGGTGGCTGCGCTCTCTAATATGTTAAGTTCAAAAAAAAAAAAAAATAAATAAATAAAAAAATTAAATTAATAAATAAATACGAATATACAGAAATAGTAACAGGATAAGTAGGTATTGGCCAGTTGACCGATGTACACCATGGGGGCAATTTATAAATTTGAGACCTCCCAAATATAATCTAGACATAGGGGACTTCCTGAGGATCTTCCATAAAAATTGTTTTTTTTTGTTTTTTTTTTTCACAGATAGAATGCGTTCCAAAAGGTCAAGAGGTCATATATTCCAAAAAATCTTCTACGAACATAAAGTTATATTGCGAACAATAGCTAGAAGACTTCTTGAAGGTCTTCCATAGATAGAATTACATTAAAAAATGATCCTGAATATGGATTATGAGGTGTACATCTAATTGAGATCTTCCCAAGGCTTTTCAGAGATAGAAAACAAAGGCTAGCTAATTTTTTGATTATCGAATTGTTTGAATGACCGATTGAGTTACTAGTGGACTGATTGAGATATCATCCGAAATCTCTGTAGAAATGAAACATTTCGTGTGTTATGTTCGCTGTATGATAAACTGTCTGATTGATGGATTGGATGTGGATTTATGGACTTAAGCCTTTAAACTCTCCGATTTTTATACCTCCACCATTTAATGGAGGGTATGTTAACTTTGTCATTCCGTTTGTATCTCCACGAAATAATCATGATAGACCCCACAAGGTATATATATTCTGGCACTAAGTCTTTCGAACGAATTGAGATAGAAGGCTAAAATTTTACACACATGTGCATTTTGCCAGTAGGCAGGTTAAGTTCGTAAATGGGCCATGTTCGTCCACGTTTTCGTGTAGCCCCCATATAACGGTACCTCATAATAAACACCGGAATTGTCTCAAATTTCATATTTGAAGTTCGGAATCGGTACTGCAGCCTATGACAAAAAATTCGTATGCAGCTCCACGTCTTCGTATAGCCCCGACGTAAAAATCGTATTTCTCGACGGATTGTTTATTATTATTTTTTTTAAATTTTAAGTTGAAATGGTGGAGTGTAATAAAAGTTGAGCCCAGCCGAACTTATTTATTTTATTGTAGAATTCTAAATTAGAAGTCTGAGTTTTTATAAAGAAATAGCAATATACTAGCGCTCTTATGACCATTTTATATAACGTATAAACGAATTGGGGCAGCCTGCTAAGATGTTACCTAACCGAGACTTTATTCTCAGCAAAGTCTCGGAATTGAATATGGCTTTCAAGGAGAAAAAAGTTATCCAAATAAATTTCTGGATGAGGTCTTGTATAGGATTTTCAATGGAGACTTATAGAGAAAAAATGTTGTTTTCGAGGTATATTGATTGGATATGGACCTTTTCGTGAGGTCTTTAACCGATTAATTTTTCTCAAAAAGAAATGTTCGACCCCTGAAAGAAACTGTCTTTTCACGGGGTTTTCTTCAGAGTACCTTTCAATGTGGCCTTTCATGGAAGTTCTTTAATCGACTCTTCTTTTTCACCTTCTGGGTGTGAGGTCTTCGTCATGGGAAGTTATCTAAGATTATTTTCATTAGGTCTTCTAAAGACCCTTGACCATCATGAAATATTTCATTTCATTTTTTGATTCTCGGTAGGTCAGTTCTCTCCTTGCAAAAACTTTCGAACCAGCCGAACTTAAAACTCCATTTAATTGTTTGATTAACTGTTTGTTTGAATGACCCATTGACTGACTGATAGATGGATTGAAGGTGGGCTGATGGACTTAAAGCTTGGAAATTTCAGATTTTTTATTATAAAATTCGAAATTTCGAGGCCGGTGCTGTTATGACCATTTTATGCTGCGTCCAAACGAATCAGGTCTGCCCGTTAAAATTATACCTAATCGAGAATTTATTCTCAGGAGTTGAATACGGCTTTCAAAAAAAAAAAAAAAACAAAAACCACATAGACTTCGTGAAGAGGTTTGCATAGAACTTCACATGGAGTGTTCTAGGGAAAGGTATATAGATTACATAAGACTTTTCCGTGAGGACTTCAACCGATTAATTTTTCTCAAAAATAAAGAGCCGTCCACTGAAAAAACTGTCTTTTCACGGGGTTTTCTACAGAGTACCTTTCAATGTGGCGTCTCATGGAAGCTGATCTTCTTTTTCACCTTCTGGGTGTGAGGTCTTCGTCATGGGAATTTATCTAAGCTTCTTTTCATGAGGTCTTCTAAAGAACCTTGACTTTCATGAAATATTTATTTCATAGAAGAAGAGGGCCGACCTTTAAAAAACTCTCTCATATTGAGGTCTCCCACAAGGGAGGTCATACTAGGTTCTCTAAGGTCTTCTATAGACTATTTGACTTCATGAAATATTGCATTGAAAGGAGGAAGTTTAATTCGGATTTCAAATAGAAAAAAAATATCCACATAGACTTCGTGAAGAGGTTTGCATAGAACTTCACATGGAGACTTCTAGAGAGTGGTATATAGATTAGATATTGGTAAAAGGCCTTTCCATGTGGTCTTCAAACGATTAATTTTTCTTAAAAAAAAGAGGCGCCCATGGAAAAAACTGTCTTTTCCCGGGGTTTCTACAAAGTACCTCTCAATGTGGCCTTCCATGGAAGCCGATCCACTCTTTAAACGAAACTTCTTTTTCACCTTCTGTGAGGTCTTCGTCATGGAAAGTTATCTCAGGTTATTTTCATAGGGTCTTCTAAAGACCTTTGGCCTTCATGAAATATTTCATGGAAGAAAGTATCCTACCTCTAAAAATAATTCATAATGAGGTCTGACCTTCTAAAGAAGATGAGCCTTTTTTCAATGGAGTTTTCTTTTTTGCCTTCTGTGGAAGACGAATTTTCGATAAGGTTTCTGTTGAAGATAGCCACTGAGTAAGTTTTTCGTCATGAGAGGTTCTTTAAGGTCTTCTAAAGACTATTTGACTTCATGAAATATTGCATTGAAAAGGGGGGCCAACCTCAAAAAAAAAAAATCTAATATTGGGGTCACCTATAAGGGACTTCTTAAAGCGGTTTTATAAGGATCTCTCAATGTGACCATCTGAGGAAGACGACCCTTTTTTCAATCGAGTCTTCTTTAATGATTATCTTTATTAAAAAGGGAATTTAAATCTCCAATGGAATTTAGAACCCCCCATTTTTATGAAAGAAGACACTTCTAGAGAACTCCTTCCTAGGAAGACCTCTTCAGTTTTTTTCCCATGAAACAACATGCCATCAAGAGGATTTGGGTGGAAGACACTTGACTAGAATTTCTTCAGATCGGACCAATTATCTGTCTTCTTCTAGAAGTTTTCGACGAAGAAGATTTCAGTAATCTTTTCCATAAAAAAATCTCTGGAGGTTTTCGATGAAGAAAATTTAATAAAAAAAAATTCCATTGGAAAATTACTTTCAAGACGACTTCTTTACAAAAGCCTTTCAGCGAAGATGACCTCTTAATGATGTCTTCTTTGAAAGAAAGAGGTTGATGTACTCCCAATGAAGATCGTTTTAAAAATAGTCCATTATTACAACAATATCTTCGGATATTGTATTTCCTATGATCTGTTCTGTTTACAGTTACAACTATTAGGCATAGCCAATAACAACGGTTCTGAGCATATGAATAGCATGGCCATGGTTCAAATCATTTTGTCAACAAACATTCATGCCGCCCTAAATGCAATAAAAGATGGGTATTTAATTGTGAGCTTCAATGTTTCGGTTTCAATACCAAAAAAAAAAAAAAAAAAAAATAAAAACAAAAAAAAAAAACAAAAAAAAAAACAGAAAAAAGAACAAAACCAAAAAACAAAATATTCAAAACAATAATGAACAGATCATAAATTTCGAGCCACTAATTTTGACACACTGAATGGGGAAATGAAGAAAATCTATTTCCATGGAGGAGTTTATGACAACACGGCTGGAGAATTATGAATGGGAAAATACCTAATTAGAAGAACTTAAGAGTAAATTTTTCTGGTGAAAAGGTATAAAACGAACTGCTGGTAACTGTGGCAGCCAGTCAAATTGAAGACTTTGTAGAACTCACAACATTTTCCAAAAATCTCTTGAAGCTATGAAAATCTTACTCCCTTTGCTATTAATTTTGGGTGAGTTCAAATTGGATTTCCAAAAAAAAAAAAATTCCACATTTTCTAAATTTTATTTCCATCACCTCTCCAGGTCTAAGCTCCTTTGCCCATGCCATTTTAAAGTCATGTATCTGTGAGGCCGGTCCAAATGGTGTGCCCGGCCACCAAGGTCCGCCTGGCCAAAAAGGTGACAAAGGCAATAGGGGTGTAACTGGTGCACCGGGTGTTCAAGGACCGACCGGACCAATTGGCCAAAAAGGTGATCGGGGCCAGAAAGGTGAACCTGGTTCTCGTGTAGGTCCACGTGGCCCACCTGGGCCGGTTGGATTAACCGGTGTCTGTCCAGTATGTCGTGTACCCAGATCTACAATGGAAGAGGAACCCACGCTGGAACCCAACACCATATATCGGGTAACAGAAACAGGTGATTTGGCTGCTGTGCGAAAAGTAAATCCCTCCCCTGCGGTGAGATCTCTTTTAAAGGAACACATGCGTTCCCTGAGACAGGAGGAGGGTGGCTATGATGAGAGAACCGAATAAAGAATTTTAATGAGACAAAAAATTTTTAATAGCTTTTATTTTCTATAAAAATTAGGGCAACTTAATAGGAAGTGAAGCAGTTGCGTATAATTTTAGAACGAAAAAAAATATTTCTTTGGAAGTATTATCCGGATAAACTTTTCCCAAAGAACTATTTATTCGGGCAATTTTTCTCCAGAAAATTATTCGATTTTTAAAAAAAAAAAAAACAACGGATATTTTTGTTTTGCGGATATATTTCTTTATAGGAATAAGTTTTGGATCCGGATCACTCTTGGTCCGAAGGGGTCAGATAAGGCTGGATTTTTGGAAATTCGTACTAGGAAGGTACGAAAAGTTTAAAAAGGTACTTAATATCGTACCCTTTTGTAGTTGAGGAAGCAATAGAGCTAGAATTTTAAATTTGCAACGAGGGTCACGAAGCCGTTGACCTGCATACGAATTTTTTTGCCATAGGTTGTAGTACCCAGTAGGATCTTCGAAAACGAAATTTTAAACGATTCCGGTGAATAATGTGCTGAAATCGTCAAAATACCGAATATCGGGAGGTACCGTTATATGGGGGCTATACGAAGGCGTGGGCGTACACACACAATTTTCTGTCTTAGGCTGTATTAGCCGTTACGAACTTCAAATACCAAATTTGAAACAATTCCGGTGAATAATGTCGCCAAAATCATCAAAATTCCGAATATCGGGAGGTCCTGTTATAAGGGGGACTATACGAAGCCGTAGACCTGGATACGAAATTTTTTGTCATAGGTTGTAGTACCCATTAAGATCCTCGAATACGAAATTTGAAACAGTTCCGATAAATAATGTTGCTGAAATCATCAAAATATCGAATACCGGGAGGTACTCTTATATGGGGGCGAAAATGTGGACCTGCAAACACAATTTTCTGCCTAAGGCTGTAATATCCGTTACGAGCTTCAAATACCAAATTTGAAATGATTCCGCTGAAAAATGGTTCTGAAATCATCGAAATACCGTTAGGAGGTACCGTTATATGGGGGCTATACGAAGACGTGGACCTGCATGCGAAATTTTTTGTCATAGCTTGTAGTACCCATTAAGATCTTCCAATACCAAATTTGAAACAATTCCGATGAATAATGGTTCTGAAATCGTCAAAATACCGAATATCGGGAGGTACTCTTATATGGGGGCTATACGAAGTTGTGGACCTGCACAGACAATTTTCTGTCTTAGGCTGTAGTATCTATTACGAATTTCAAATATCAAATTTGAAACAATTCCGGTAAATAATGTCTCTAAAATCATCAAAATACAGAATATCGGGAGGTACTCTTATATGGGGGCTATACAAACACGTGGGCCTGCATACGACATTTTTTGTCATAGCTTGTAGTACCCATTAAGATCTTCCAATACCAAATTTGAAACAATTCCGATGAATAATGTCGCCAAAATCATCAAAATACCGAATATCGGTAGGTACTCTTATATGGGGGCTATAGGAAGACGTGGACCTGCACAGACAATTTTCTGCCTAAGGATGAAGTACCCATTGCAAACTTCAAATACCAAATTTGAAACAATTCCGTTAAATAATGTCGGTTAAATCATCGAAATACCGAATATCGGGAGGTACTCTTATATGGGAGCTATACGAAAACGTGGACCTGCAGGGACAATTTTCTGCCAAAGGCTGTAGTATTAATTTCGATCTTCAAATACCAAATTTTAAAAAAATCCGATGAAAAGTATCGCTAAAATCATCCAAATTCCGAATATCGGGGGGTACACTTATATGGGGGCTATACGAAGACGTGGACCTACATGGCCCATTTTCAGTACCAAAAGTCCTGCAGACATAATATTCATTTGAGTATAATTTTATCAATCTACTTCATTTCGCTAGAGTGACTTCCACTGACTTAACTTAATATACCCTCCATGCTATGGTGGAGGTTATAAAAATTACAAAAAAAATTGTCAAGGGATTTTAATCTTTTTCTTTTGAAAATTTTTTTTAAATTGTTTTGTGGTTATTCATAGCAACGCCACTTTGAAAACGGTACCCAGTACAAATTCCAGTTTCGGTTTATGGCCCGACAACCCATTTATAATGGACAAACAAATTTCCCCCGAATTACTAATCACCTGTAACTAGTTCTCATTTCACTCATATCTTTATTTGTTTATAATTCTTTTTTTTCCAAAAATCAAAATTTACAACCTACAATAATCGAAGTCACGTTTCACGATAAGGTATCGCAGGCCTTGAGGCCATCTCCAATGCAGGCAGCATAGGCCATCATATGGGGTATGGTATTTTGTTCATAGACCCCTGTAAAGAGATGTGACCAAGGCCCAACGGCAAAAACGCCCACATCTTCACCCCCATGGGTTTCGGTGGAAAGGGGAGCTGTGGCGGGGAAAAGGTCATTGGCATCACCGGTCAACACCAAATTGGGGTCAATACGTTTGGTGGCCTTGTCATTGAAATAGGAATAATAACCCTGGCCATTGGCATAGCTAAGTGGCGAATAGGCCATGCCATCGCTGTCTGAGGTGCCTAGACTGAAAATATCCGTACCACGATTCTGATAACCAGCCACGCTAAAGGTGTGCGAGTGATCCGACGTCACCACAATAAGAGTGTCCTCCTCACTGGTCATTTGTCGTGCCAAGGCAATGGCCTGTGAAAATTCCTTGGTTTCATCCAAGGCCATGCGGGCCTTGTTGGAGTGGTGGCCCAAATCAATTTTACCCCCCTCCACAAAGAGGAAGAAACCCTTGTCATTGTCCTGCTGCATGAATTCAATGGCCTTTTTGGTCATCTCCTCCAAGGTGGGTTGGGTGTTGCTCGGATTGGCAATGGCGTCCAGGTGATAGTCCATGTGGTCACTGCTAAAGGTACCCAGCAGGCGATCAATTTTTGTCAAGTCCAGATTTTCCAATTCCTCTCTGGTCTCCACGTAGGCATTGCGGGGGGACATTTCCAGATATTCTTCAATGAGATTACGGCCATCTGTGCGCAGACCCTTGCTGTAGACGGACTTGTCAAGGAAGTTACGCTTGCCACCACCCATCATGACCTTGAGGCGTGAACCCACCTCTCCATGTATCAATTGCACGGCAATATCGTCGAGGCCACTGTCGGCACCACAATATGACTCCAGATCATCATTGTTCTCCCATTCACGATCCGCCGTGTGGGCATATACCCCAGCCGGTGAGGCATGGGTTATTCTGGTGGTGGTCACAAAACCGGCCGATTTACCCGCATCCATGGCCCATTTGGCAATGGAGTAAACATGATTGGAGCTATCACGCATTGCCTCACAGTTGTCGCGATTGACATGGGCATTTACCCCAATTGTGCCATAATTGGCCTTGACCCCACACAGGTACGCCGTGGCCGTGGTGGCCGAATCGGGAGTGATTTTGTCCACACTATAGGTTTTGGAGAGCCCGGTGTAGGGAAACTCCTCAAACGATAGCTTGGTGTGTTCTCCCTCAATGTAATTTCGTGCCGCCACCAAGGTCGTCAGACCCATGCCATCGCCCAAAAACATTATGACATTCTTGGCCACATTGGTGTTTTGTTGTTGTTTTTGCTGTTGCCTGATAAACTCCTTGCCTTGATTTAGCCAAAATTCTTGGGTCTCCTCTCCCACTCTCCTCAAAGTTCGTGCATCATGTATCTCATCACGAAATTCAGGATGCATTAATCGATCTTCCAAATCCTCTTCATCCTGGCGTAAAGTGCCTCGCACCGCTTGTACAAGCAGGATGAAGAATATTAAAGCCTTAAAGGAAAACTCCATATTTCCGCAAATGCAACCACTTCGGCTGAAATTTTCCGTTCAACTAAAACCATGTGCGCTCAACGCGTGCCTTAAGTAGGCTCTGTGTTGTTATTATTGTTGTTATCGCCATTCGCCAACTGTCATTCATAATGATCGCTGTCAATTAACTCTCAATTTCCCTCAATGGGCGGGCGATAATTGTTTTTCGTTTTTTTCGGGGCTAACAGATTATCTCAACGTTTTTTTGGAAAACATTTACTTTTTAGTATTCGCCACTTGAAAGATAAGGGAATGGGGTACGGTGACGTTGGCCATTGGCAATTGGCGTGGGAAAAATGGGGGGCTGGGTATAGGTGCCCTCATTTGGCAAAGTTCCTTAAGAGTCACTATTTTTTACAAAAAGTCGATTTTGGGAAGAAATCGTTTAAGGGGAAGAAAATATTAACTGAATTGCAAAGCGTACTTTGAGGAGCAGGACAAAAGTAAAACAAAAAAACAACAACGAAAATCGATATCAAAAAACGTCTTTGGAATTTTTACTGCAAGTAAAAGTCGAATTCGATCGGAATTTTTAAATAATTGGAAGTGGAGCATAATTAAAAGTGGACCAGGTCAAAAGTAAAGGACGGATTTGAAGATGTTTTAGACTTCCAACCGAAGTATGGAATCGTGAAAAAAAAAAATCGAAAATCTATAAGTAAATAAAAGTCGTGCGAGTAAAAGTCGAATTCGATTTCCAGATTTGTATATACCAAATTGTCGAATAATTGAAAGTGGAGCAGGTCAAAAGTAAAGGACGGAATTGAAAATGTTTTGAAATTCTAACCGAAATACGATTAAAATCGTGAAAAAAGAAACAAAAACGAAAATCGATTACCAAAAAACGTTTTCGGGATCTTTACTGCGAGTAATAGTCGAATTCTATCCCGATTTTTGAAATAATGGAAAGTGGAGCAGATCGAAAGTAAAGAACGGATTTGAAGATGTTTTGAAATTCTAACCGATATACGATTAAAATCGTGAAAAAAACAACATCGAAAATCAATTACCAAAAAACATCTTTGGGATCTTTACTGCAAGTAAAAATCGAATTCGATACCGATTTTTAAACAATTGGAAGTGGAGCATAATTGAATGTGGAGCAGGTCAAAAGTAAAGGATTTTTTTCCCGACATTTTAAATAATTGAAAGTGGAGCAGATTGAAATTAAAGGACGGATTTGAAGATGTTTTAAACTTCCAACCGAAGTATGATGTAAATCGTGGAAAAAAAGAAAATCGAAAATCGATAAGTAAAAGTCGAATTAGATTTTCAGATTTTTAATAACAAAATGTGGAATAATTGAAAGTGGAGCAGGTCAAAAGTAAAGGAGGGATTTGAAGCTGTTTTAATCTTCTAAACGAAATATGATGTAAATCGTGGAAAAAATCGAAAACGAAAATCGAAAATCAATTAACAAAAAATGTCTTTGGGATCTTTACTACAAGTAAAAGTCGAATTCGATCCTGATTTTTAAATTATTGGAAGTGGAACATAATTGAAAGTGGAGTAGATCGAAAGTAAAGAGCGGATTTGAAGATGTTTTGAAATTCTAACCGATATACGATTAAAATCGTAAAAAAAAAAATTGAAAATCGATTACCAAAAAACGTTTTCGGAATCTTTACTGCAAGTAAAAGTCGAATTCGAATCTGATTTTTAAATAATTGGAAGTGGAACATAATTGGAAATGGAGCAGGTCAAAAGTAAAGGATGGAGTTGAAGTTGCTTTAAACTTCTCAACCGTGGAAAATGGTGGAAAAAAAGAAAATCGATAAGTAAGTAAAAGTCGTGCAACTAAAAGTCGAATTCGATTTCCAGATTTGTATATACCGAATTGTCGAATAATTGAAAGTGGAGCATGACAAAACTAAAGGACGGAAATGAAGCTGTTTTAAACTTCTAAACGAAATATGAAGTAAATCATGAAAATATGAAGTAAATCGGGATCTTTACTGCAAGTAAAAGTCGAATTCTATCCCGACATTTTAAATAATTGAACAGATTTGAAGCTGTCTTAAAATTCTAACCGAAAAATAATGTAAATTGCGAAAAAAAAAAACAAAAACGAAATTCGATTACACAAAGAGTTTTCGGGATCTTTACTGCAAGTAAAAGTCGAATTCTATCTTGATTTTTTAAATAATTGAATGTGGAGCAGATCGAAAGTAAAGAACGGATTTGAAGATGTTTTGAAATTCTAACCGAAATACGATTAAAATCGTGAAAAAATCGAAAATCGATTACCAAAAAACGTCTTGGCGATCTTTAGTTCAAGTAAAAGTCGAATTCGATATTAAGAGTCTAGCGAAGTATCCAATAAGTAAGGTCTACTTTTAGGGGCAAACCAGAAGTAAACCGCCGAGTTGAGAAAGATTGAATATCAAATGTCAAATAGTCGAAAGTCGAGATGCGTTTCCCTGTTTAATGAGAGTTATGAATTCAAATGTGAGGTTTACTTTGAGGAGCAGATCAGAAGTAAACGGCTGAGTGAGATTTAAACTTCTATTGAACAAATTAAATTATATCAGTCGGTTTTGCCGACAGATGTATACCTTGACTTGACTTGCACTATAATTATTAAAAATGTTGACTCTATGGGGGAGGTTTCAAAAGAGTGGGTCAATATTGTCAATTTCGTTTTGGACCTTAGTTCATCATAAATATTACAATATGCCAGATTTGGATGATTTTCTCGCATTTTAAGAGCGTTTTGCCCTGTTGATATATATCCCACTTTCACAGCAGATTTTTTTTATGAGTAAAAATATTGGGATTTGTAAAATTTGAAGAGACTTCCATGCTAATTTCGCATTTTATAATCTTCTTGATTATTCAAAATGTGCCGAGTTTGAGCGGAATCGGATGCTCATATCGTGAATTATGAGCTTCACGATTATTCAAAATTTTGACCCGTTGTGTGGGAGGTACCAGCGAGAGGGGATCGTGTTTATTGAAATATTGGGATGCGTTGTGGGGGGAGGTACCAAAAGGAGTAGGCCGATATCCCCCTTCTTCACTCAAAATCTTGTGTTAATAGAAATATTGGGATGTGCCGAACTTGAAAGGAATCGGACACTTATTTCGCATTTAATGAGAGATATAATTATTCAAAATGTTGAACCGTTTTGGGGGAGGTATCAGCGGGAGTGGATCGATATATTCCATGTTCACACCATATCGTGTGTTGGTGAAAATATTGGGATGTGTGAAATTTGAAGGCATCATATTTTATAAGATTATAACAATCTTTCAGAATTTTGACCCGTTAGGGGGTAGAGGATAGGTACTAGGAGAAGTGAACCGATCTTTCACATCTTTGCACAAGATCTTGGGGACGTACCAGGAGGAGTGTACCGGTATTGCCCATCTCCGAACTTGATCTAAGTTTGACAATAATATTACTATGTACTAAGTGTGGATCAAATCGGATACTCTCTTCGCGAATTATCGGGCGCAAGAGGAAGAGGGGGAAAGTAAAACGAGACAGACAAATACATAACAATACAACAACGGTATAAACACCAAGTAAAAAAGCAGCTAAGTTCGGCAGGGCCTTTGACTTTTAATACCTTCCACCCTTTGGAAGAAACTTAAATAATTTCAACAAATTCCAAAAAAAAAAAAATTAAATTAAATGACGACGGCTATACGAAGACGCGGATCTGCATAAATAATTTTTTGTCATAGGCTGTAGTACCCTTCAAATACCGAATTTGAAACAATTTTGGTGAATAATGGCGCTAATGTGTTACAAATGGAATGACAAACTTAATATACCCTCTATACTATGGTGGAAGGTATAAAAAAAGAGTGCTCAGCAGAAGTAGAATCTGCTGGATTTTAAACTCACTCATATTTTACGAAAATATGCTCAGCGACATCGAAAAATTGAGTTTGTTCGATTTTGAGCGAATTTTGCTCCCACTTTAGAACGTGGAGAACAAACTCTCACATTCGAGCAGCAATAAGAAATTATTTTTACTCCCCCCTACGAGGACACTCAGTCGAATTTGAGTGAGTTTCGAGCGTATATTTTGGAGGCCTGGTACTGTACCGAGTATCCCAAGTAGAGGCAAAATTTTATTCAAAATTCATGGCATACTTTGAGGAACTGGTCAGGTTGAAATTTGGAAAGAGGGGTGGGGATTTTGTACAGAAAAAGACACATACATAGAAATACAACCACGGTATAACAAGGCATACTTTGAGGGGAAGAGGGGTAAGAGGCACAGAACAGAAAGGCATATGTATATAGAAATACAACAACGGCATAACAAAAGAAAACTAGGAGAGTGCCCGGTAGGAGAGCAATCTGCTCCATTTTGAACGAATTTTGTTCCCATTCAAAAACGAGGGAAATATGTTCACTCATATTCGAGCGAAATCGAAAAATTAAGTATTCTCGATTTTTGCTCCGAGGAGAGCATTAGCTCGAATTGGAGTAAATTTCACTCTTTGAACAAATTCGAGCGATTTTTTCAAAGGCCTGATTTAATTTTTCATTCAATATGCAGGGCATACTTTGAGGGGAAAGTCATGGGGAAGAGGAGAAAGAGGCTTGGGACAGAAAGGAATATACATAAAAATACAACAACGGCATAACAAAAGAAAACTATTGGAGTGCCCGGCAGGAGTACAATCTGCTCAATTTTGAACCCACTCAAAATGCGGGAAATGTGCTCACTTATATTCGAGTGACATCGAAAAATTAAGTTTTCTCGATTTTTCGATTCTGCTCCCAGGAGAGAACATGCTCGAATTGGAGTAAATTTGACTCTTAGAAGAAATTCGAGCGATTTTTTTAGTATCTATCCCTAGATGAACTTTCATTCAAATGCAATGCATACTTTGAGGGGCAGTTGAGAAGTAAATGACCGGTATGTGGGTATGGTAAATAATTGCAAAAGTTCCGACGAAAATTCAATTTTGCCATTTTTATTATAAGGGAAGTCGACTTCGACTTCGTGTCCGACTTTTAGACTTTTGAATAGCAAATGTCCGATGTGACGTGTGTGATGAAAAACGACGAATTTTAGGTAATGCTGTCAGGGAAATTATTTTTAGAATTATCTTTATCCGATTAGTAGTTCTTTTTTATACCCAACTCTAAGATTCCTTCGGGGATAAGGTCATGTGTCCCCTTTCTTGGAATTTTTGACCTACGTCACTACCATTTTGAAATCTACCACCAATTTCATTGTCACAAACTTGACATAAATAATCATTAAGTGAAGCTAACATTTTCGAAAACGAACTGACCACAGATAAGCCAAAAAAAAAACGAAAATTTCAAGCATCAGCCACTAAGCGAGAGAGGCCAAGATAAGATAGGCCGGCCGCTTAATGGGAATGGTATAAAATGTTAAGCAATTAAATAAAACCCATTTAGTTGAGTGTCAAGTTTCGATTAAATAGCTGGCATAGAGCTCAGAGGATAATATGAAGAGGACAGCAGTGGTACTTGTATCCCTGCTCCTTGCTGTGACCGGGGCCATTAAGGATCCGGATCATCCCAACTTTCCGGCGCCAAGAACTTACACCATGGCCACCGAGGAGGCAGATACCCAATTTTGGGTGGACAAGGCCCAGAATATTTTGGCCCATAAACTGCAGACCTATAATCAGCTGAATACGAAGAGAGCCAAAAATATTATTCTCTTCCTGGGTGATGGCATGTCCATACACACCGTGACGGCCACCAGAGATTTTATGGGTGACAGCAGTATGCAGGTGTCGTTTGAAAAGTTCCCCTTTACCGGCTTGTCGAAAACCTATGCGGTGAACAAGCGTACCCCAGATTCGGCCACCACAGCCACGGCCTATTTGAGTGGTGTCAAGGGGAATTATGGTACCATAGGGGTCAATGCCCAGGTTCCAAAATATGATTGTTTCAAGGCCAATGATACCTCGACTCACACCGAAAGTTTGGCCAAATGGGCCCAGGATGCTGGCAAATGGGCGGGGTTGGTTACAACGGCTCGTGTGACCCATGCCTCCCCAGCCGGAGTTTATGCCCACACTGCCTCCCGTAGCTGGGAATATGATGGAGAAATTGTTAAGGATAAATGCAGTCCTGAGATAAATGTTGATATTGCCCGTCAATTGGTCGAATGGCCTGTGGGCAAGGAGTTACGTGTGGTCATGGGTGGTGGGCGACGCAATTTCCGTGACAAGACCATGAACGATGAGGAGGGCATAAAAGGTTATCGCAGCGACAAACGTGATCTGATCCGTGAATGGTTGGACAACAAGCGGAGCGAAAATAAGTCGGCGGAATATGTGTGGTCGAAAAAGGGTTTGGAACTGGTGGACATTAGCAAAACCGAATATCTTTTGGGTTTGTTTAGTGATTCGCATTGCCCATATCACGGGGATTTGAAGAGAGATCGCTTGGAGAACAGTGATCCATCGCTGAGCCTTATGACCCAGAAGGCGATTGAGCTGTTGAGTAAAAATGACAAGGGATATTTCCTGTTTGTGGAGGGTGCCCGCATTGATATGGCCCATCATAGTTCTAAGGCCCATAAGTCTCTGGAGGATACCGAGGAATTTTCAAGGGCCATTGAGCTGGCACGCAATATGACCAGTGAGGAGGATACTCTGATTGTGGTCACCTCGGATCATTCGCACACCATGTCCTTGAATGGTTATCCGGTGAGTTGAGTTTTTTTTTTTTCGAATTTCTTATGATTTTGGAGATTTTTGACTACCGGGGTTTTTTTTATGCCCTTAGCCATATGTCTAGAAAGGGTATATATCATATGATACGGCCAAAACGTGCCTCATTAAAATACCGGTTTTAGACCTATGTCTTTTCAGGACGTTTGGAGTCGATCCAGGGGTGTCCAACCGCCCGCCTGTCTGTCTTTCATGATGCGCCGATAACTAGAAGGGAGTTTGCGATTTGATCCAAATTTGGTAAATTTAAATATATTTGTCAAACTTAGATCGAAGTCGGAGATGGGCAACATCGGTCCACTCCTTCTGAAACCTCCCCCACAAATGGTTCAAAATTCTCAAAAACAAAAAAATATTTTTCTTCACAAAAAGAGAAAGGATGATCCAATTTGGTTCAGATTTTACGAATCTTAATATTTGTGTCTATGCAGAGTCAGGTGCGAAAATGGACAATATCGGTCCACTCCATCAAGTACCTCCCGCACCAAGGGTCAAAATTTTGAATAATTATAACTTTTATAAAATGTGAAGTAAGAGTCCGATTGTCTTCAAATTACACACATCACAATATTTTTTTTTTTAACCCAAGGTCTGGTGTGAAGGTGGAATATATTGGACCACTCCTTCTGGTACCTCCCCCACAAAGGGTCAAAATGTTGAATATCCATTGAGCTTTTAAAAGGCGAAATTAATATTCGCTTCCATTCAGACTTGGTACATCTCAAAATTTTCATCAACACAAGATCTGTTGTAAATATGGTGGAGATCGGACCCCTACTTCTGGTACCTCCCCTACAAAGGGTCAAACTTTTGAATAACCGAAACGCTCATAAAAAGCGAAATATGCCCCCGATTCCTTTCAAACTCGCCACATATTAATATTTCCATCAACACAAGATCTTCTATAATGATGGTGGAGATCGGGCCACACCTGCTGGTACCTCCTCCACAAAGGGTCAAAATTTTAAATAACCGAAACGCTCATAAAATGCGAGATAAATATCCGACTCCTTTCAAACTCAGTACATCTCAATATTTCTATCAACACAAGACCTGCTATAAATATGGTAGGAATCGGACCATTTCTTCTGGTACCTCCCCCATAAAGGTTGCAAATTTTGAACAACCGCAACGCTCATAAAATGCGATATAAGTATCCGACTCTTCGGCACATCTCAATATTTCTATCAACACAAGATCTGCTACAAAGATGGTAGGGATCGGGCTACTCCTTCTGGTACCTCCCCCACAAAGGGTCAAAATTTTGAATAACCGAAAAGCTTATAAAATGCTATATAAGTATCCGATTCCTTTCAAATTCGGCACATCTCAATATCTCTATCAACACAAGAGCTGATATAAAGAAGGTAGAGATCGGACCATTCTTTCTGGTACCTCCCCCACAAAGGGTCAAAATTTTGAATAACCGAAACGCTCATAAAATGCAATATAAGCATCCAATTTCCTTCAAACTCGGAACATTTCAATAGTTCCATCAACGAAAGATATTTTATAAAGATGGTATAGATCGGATCACACCTTCTGGTACCTCTCCCACAAAGGGTCAAAATTTTGAATAACCAAAACGGTCATAAAATGCGACTTAAGTAACCGATTCCTTTCAAACTCGGCACAATTTAATATTTTTATCAACTCAAGATCTGTTATGAAGATGGTGGAGGTCGGACCATTTTTTCTGATGCCTCCCCCACAAAGGGTCAAAATTTTGAATAACCGAAATGCTCATAAAATGCGAGACAAGTATCCGATTCCTTTCAAACTCGGTACATCTCATTATTTCCATCAACGAAATATATTTTACAAAGATGGGATATATCGGACCACTCCTTCTGGTACCTCCCCCACAAAGGGTCAGAATTTTGAATAACCGAAAAGCTCATAAAATGCGAAATATGTCCCCGATTCCTTTCAAACTCGGCACATATTAATATTTCCATCAACACAAGATCTGCTATAAAGATGGTAGGGATCGCATTATTCCTTCTGGTACCTCCCTCACAAAGGGTCAAAATTTTGAATAACCGAAACACTCATAAAATGCGAGATAAGTATCCGATAACTTTCAAACTCGGCACAACTCATTATTTTTATGAACACAAGACCTGCTATAAATATGGTAGGGATCGGACTATTCCTTCTGGTACCTCCCTCACAGAGGGTCAAAATTTTGAATTCCCATGAAGTTCATAAAATGCGACATAAGCATTATATAATGCGACATAAGTTATAAAGATGGTAGAGTTCGGACCCCTATTTCTGGTACCTCCCTCACAAAGGGTCAAAATTTTAAATAACCGAAACGCTCATAAAATGCGAAATAAGCATCCGATTCTCTACATATTTCACACATCTCATTATTTCTACTAACAAAAGAACTCTTGTGAAAATGGCAGATATCGGTCCACTCCCTCTGGTACCTCCCTCCCTGAATTATTATAATTTATTATTTAAAAGGCCTACAGGCCAAAATCTCAAACATTTCTTTGATGAAAAAAAATCTGATCCTCATTTTTTTTTGTTCTTTGCTCTTTCCCCTTTCAGTATCGCCGTCAAAACATTTTCGATTTTGCCCCCAGCTTAGCCGCAGATAAACTGCCCTACACCATACTCTCCTATGCCAATGGTCCGGGTTACTCGAAAACCTTTTCCTCGAAGACGGGACGGCGTGATCTGCGACAATATGATAACCAGGATGCAGAATATCGTTTTATGGCCACAGTTCCCATGGGTTCGGAGACCCATGGTGCCGAGGATGTGGGTGTCTTTGCCTCTGGGCCCATGGCCCATTATTTCAGTGGCAACTATGAGCAGAGCAATATACCCGCTGTTATGGCTCACATTGCCAATATTGGCCCCTTTGCCGATGATAAACTTTAATTCATCTTTTGATTGTCTAACCCTTTAATCTCACCTTGAGTTTCCACAAATGATCCTAAACAAATAAATGCCGTTAGAGAGAAGTGTTTAGCATGGAATATTTTATTTACCAAGGACTTGATGACTAGCACTACTAGTTGATGGTTGATAAATAGGAAAAAGGGTGGGGGAGGATGCTTTGGAATCCTTTGTGGTTTTATTTGTTTTTGCGGGCGGCTTCTGTCTGAGTGTGTGTGAGTGCATATTTTCTTATCATTATTTTTTTTTTTTGTTTCATTGTTGTTGTTGTTATTATTATTGTTGTTGTTAGTGTATTTGAAAAGGTGTCAGAATTATATTTACCTTTTTCGGTTTTGTGATACGTTCACAAGTCAAGTCAATGGCATGTTATACGAGGATATGACAGGATTTTGCTGCTGGAGGCGTTTTCCCAGACATTTCAATATAAGTTCCAACATCACCTTACCTATGTAAATATTGGAATTCTGATGAGAAATGAGAAAGTCAAAGGTTAAGTTGTATCAAAACACACATGCCACAAACACTCGCTCCAGACATTGGGGAAGGGGAGATGTAATTAAATTTTATTTGATTTTCTGGAACGGGAGGTAGGGGGAAGTTAAAAAATTAACAAAAAAAAAATCATCAGCATTTTTCTACAAAAAAAAAAAAAAAAAAATAATAAAAATAAAAAAAAATAAAGAATAAAAAGTTTCAAAACGAAAATTTTATAGTGAAAGAGAGGTTCTCCCAGAAAAATAATCTTAAAAAAAAAAAAAAAAAAAAAGCTGTAGATACGCCGCGGCGGAACTTTGAATACCCTCCACCATTTGGAAAGAAATTGAAAATTTTCAAACAAAAAAAAAAAAAAAAAAAAAAAAAAACAGTAAAGAAAGTCCTAAACTCGGGCGGGCCGATTTTATGATACCCTACACCACTTTGCTAATTTAGTTGAGCTCCACATAACAATTAAAAGTTTTTATGGGAGAATTCAATCATGCACCCTATGATTATAATTATAATTTAAAATTCAAAGGACTAAATATGCCGAAGCATTTGTATCTTTTAAATTCGGACTTGTATTGGCCATTTGGTGCACAATTAATTTGAAATCAGATAAAGATATATATGGGAGCTATATCCAAATCGGAATCGATCTCGATAAAATTTAGGAAATGTATTTCTAAGCTGCATTTGATATATTTCCCCAAATATTGTTGTTACAGAGTGCATATTACGGCTGCGGAGGACAAAAATAACAAATCGGATGAACAATATATATGTGGGAGCTATAGCTATATCTGAACCGATCTTCACCAAATTTGACATACTAGCTTCTAGACTCAATTCGGTCGCATGTGCCAAATTTCATCCCATTTGGACAAGTATTAGAAGTTTGGTGCACCATAAAAAGGTAAATCGGACGAAGTTATATATGGGAGCTATATCCAAATCTGAACCGATTTCCATGAAATTTGGCAAAGATATTTCTGAGCTTTATTAGATATATTTCCCTGAATATAGTTGTTAAGGAGTGCATATTACGGCTGTGGGTAACAAATATAAGAAATCGGATGAACATCGGATATATGGGAGCTATAGCTATATCTGAACCGATCTTTACCAAATTTGAGACACTAACTTCTAGACTCAATTCGATCGTAAGTGCCAAATTCCATCCCATTTGGACAAATATTAGACGTTTGGTGCACCATAAAAAGGTAAATCGGACGAAGTTATATATGAGAGCTATATCCAAATCTGAACCGATCTCGATAAAATTTAGCAAAGGTGTTTCTGAGCTGCATTTGCTATATTTCCCCAAATATTGTTGTTACAGAGTGCATATTATGGCTTCGGAAGACCAAAATAACAAATCGGATGAACAATATATATGGGAGCTATAGGTATATCTGATCCGATTTCGAACAAATTTCGCATACTTATTGTTAGGCCCAATTTGGTTGTATGTGCAAAATTCCATACTATTCGGGCTGATATTACACGTTTGGTGCACAATAACAGGTAAATCGGACGAAGATATATATGGGAGTTATATCCAAATCTGAACCGATCTTGATAAAACTTAGCAAAGATATTTCTGAGCTGCAGTTGATATATTTCCCCAAATATTGTTGTTACAGAGTGCATATTACGGCTGCGGAGGACAAAAATAACAAATCGGATGAGCAATATATATGTGGGAGCTATAGCTATATCTGAAGCGATTTCGATCAAATTTGGCATACTTATTTTCAGGCCTTATTTGGTTGTATGTGCAAAATTCCATACTATTCCGGCTGATATTACACATTTGGTGCACCATAAAAAGGTAAATCGGACGAAGATATATATGGGAGCTATATCTAAATTATGACCGATTATCTCCAATTTCAATAGGGTTCGTCCTTGGGCCAAACAAATGTTGTTTGGAAAATTTCATCTCAATCGGATAATAAATGCGACCTGCATTTTGTTCACAAAAATACATGGACAGACGGACGGACGGACATGCATAAATCGACTTAGAGTGTGATGCTATGCAGATCATCAAAAGGACTATGGGTCTATCTCGTTTCCTTTTGCCTGTTACAAACAAATGCGCAAAAACATAATACCCTGACCACCTTGTGGTGTAGGGTATAAAAATTAAATATCCATAAAAATGAAAAGGCTCCAAAACGAAAATTTTATAGGGAAAGTCCCTTTCAAGAGAGGTTCTCCAGGAAAAATAATCTTAACGAAATATATCAAAAAAAAAAAAAAAAAACAAGCTGTAAGTTCCGCCATTACAATATTCAAATTCGAAACTTAAAAAAAATCGGTGAATAATGTAGCTAAAATCATCAAAATACCGAATATCGGGAGGTACCGTTATATGGGGGCTATGCGAAGACGTGGAACTGCACAGACAATTTTCTATCACAGGCAGTAGTACCCACCACGAACTTTAAATGCGAAATTTGAAACCATTCCGGTGAATAATGTCGCTAAAATCATCAAAATACCGAACATCGGGAGGTACCGTTATATGGGGGCTATACGAAGACGTGGACCCGTTAAGACAATTTTCTGTCATAGGCTGTAGCATCGATTTCGGAATTCATATACCAAATTTGAAACAATTCCGGTAAAAAGTATCGCTAAAATCATCAAAATACCGCATATCGGGAGGTACCGTCATATGGGGGCTATACGAAGACGTGGACCTGGTCAGACAATTTTCCGTCATAGGCTAAAGTATCCATTACGGACTTCAAATACCAAATTTGAATTAGTTCCGGTAAATAATGTCTCTAAAATCATCAAAATACCGAATATCGGGAGGTACCGTTGTATGGGGGCTATACGAAGACCTGGACCTGTATTGACAATTTTTTGTCATAGGATGTAGTATTCATTACGAACTTCCAATACCAAATTTGAAACAATTCCGTTGAATAATGTCGCTAAAATCATTAAAATACCGAATATCGGGAGGTACCGTTGTATGGGGGCTTTACGAAGACCTGGACCTGCACAGACAATTTTCTGTCTTATGCTGCAGTGTCCATTACGAACTTCAAATGCCAAATTTGAAACAATTCCGGTAAATAATGTCGCTAAAATAATCAAAATACCGAATATCGGGAGGTACGGTTATATGGAGGTTATACGAAGACGTGGACCTGCACAAACAATTTTCTGTCTTAGGCTGTAGTATCCATTACGAACTTCAAATACTAAATTTAAAATAGTTCCGGTAAAAAGTATCGCTAAAATCATCAAAATACCGATTATTCGGAGGTACCGTTATATGGGGGCTATACGAAGACGTGGACCTGCACAGACAATTTTCAGTCTTAGGCTGTAGTAGCTGTTACGAACATCAAATGCCAAATTTGAAACAATTCCGGTAAATATTGTCGCTAAAATCATGAAAATACGGAATATATGGAGATACCGTTATATGGGGGCAAGACGAAGACTTGGACCTGCATAGACAATTTTCTGTCATAGGCTGTAGTATCCATTACGAACTTCAAATACCAAATATGAAACAATTCCGGTGAAAAATGTCGCTAAACTTATCAAAATAACGAATATCGGGAGGTACGGATATATGGGGGTTATACGAAAACGTGGATCTGCATTGACAATTTTCTGGGGTAGGTTGTAGTATCCATTGCGAACTTCAAATACCAAATTTAAAAGAATTCCGGTGAATAATGTCGCTAAAATAATCAAAGTACCGAATATGGGGAGGTACCGTTGTATGGAGGCTATACGAAGACGTGGACCTACACAGACAATTTTCTGTCATAGGCTGTAGCATCCATTACGAACTTCAAATACAAAATTTGAAATAGTTTTGGTAAATAATGTCGCTAAAATAATCAAAATACCGAATATATTGAGGTACTCTTATATGGGGGCTATACCAAAACGTGGACCTACATGGCCCATTTTCAATACCAAAAGTCCTGCAGACATAATACACATTTGAGTAAATTTTTGTCAACTTACTTCATTTCGTTCGGAAGCTAGAGTGATTGCCCCAGACGGATAGACGTATAGACGGCCGGACATTGCTAAATCGACATAGGATTTTATGCCGATCAAGGATATACATTCTTTGTGGGGTCTAAAATGTATATTTTGATTTATTTATCGAAACTTAACGAAAGATTGTAGAGATCTTATTGCCTTTTGAGGTCCTCCCAGCCCATTAGCTCCGATTGTAAAGACTCCATTTACTTTATTCCGCTTGCCGAAATAAAGCAAAGTTTTCGGCTAACCTAACGAAACTTTAAGGTTGTTGAATGTCTTGTTGTTGTTGTTGTTGTAGTTTGATGTTACCCTAGCAATAACAACAACAACAACAACAACAACAACATAAAAACCACACAACGTTGTAGAGGCAGTCATCCAAGCCCTCGCCAGGATTTCACACATCGCACCAAAGCCTTTCACATGACACCATATCCCCGCATGACACTACCCCCCTACCTTTTGCCATGCTCCCCGCGTTGGAGGTACCTCGACACCAGACCCATGCGTGTGATGGAAGATAAATTAAATTTTGTGGTTTGATTCTCTCTTT